GCAACGGGCTTAAATGTAGTAACGATTGTGAGGCTGGCACAGAACTGGGCAGTGTTTCGTTCTGTAGTGTATATAGGGTCGCTAAGAATCAGTACTGACTCATTGGCACCTAACAACAATAACGATGCTGGGAACTAGGCTACCAGTATTTCAAATATCAGCAGGGTCATGTTTCAATGAGCTTCCAGACAGAAAAGATAAGAAAGGAGGATCTGGAGATCTGCCCCTGAAAAAAACTGGCCAGTGAAAACCTTATAAATAGCAGCAGAACACTGTTTGATACAGTGCATCAAGGTGAGCCACTCAGGTTTTAAGGCACAGAAAATACAACTGGTGAAGAGCTGCCTCCTCAAAGTAAAGTTGACATTAATGACTTAGATAGAGGAAAGCTTTTGGGACCTTGATTTGCTTCTGGACAATATGCAAAATGTGAAGAAACAGCTGCAAATATCCATTAATAATCAACATGGAATATACCAAGCATGGATTCAGGAAAATTGGAAGCCATCAAACATGAAATGGAACACACATACAAATTGATATCCTAGGCATTAGTGAGCTGAAATGGACTGATATTAGCCATTTTTATCTGGAAAATAATATGGTCTACCATGTCAGGAAAGACAAATTGAAGAGGAATGGTATTGCATTTAACATCAAAAAGAACAATTCAAGTTCTACTCTTAAATATAGTGTAGTCAGTCATAGAATAGTATTCATATGCCTACAAGGAAGGCTAGTTAATATGACCCTTATTCAAATGTACATGTCAACCATTAATGTCAAAGATGAAGAAACAAGATTTTTACCAATTTCTATGGTCTGAAATTGATCAAACCTGCAATCAAGAGGCAATCATAATTACTAAAGAACAGAGAGATGGTTGAACAAACTTTGGTACATACACACAACAGAAAATTATGCAACACTGAAGAGTAATGATGAATCTGCAAAACACCACGTAACATGGAGGATCCTAGAGGACATTATGCTGAGTGAAATTAGTTGGTAGCAAAGGGACAGATATTGTATGAGACCACTACTGTAAAATGTCAAGAAAAGGTTTTCATGCTATAATAAACATTCTATGATAGTTACTAGGGGTAGGAAAGAAGGGAGAATTATTCACTGGTCCTGGTGTGGTGCAGTAGGACAAGCACTTGACTGCAAGGTTGGTCTAAACTGCAAGGCTGGCAGTTCAAATTCACCAGCCGCTCCTCAAAAACTCAATACAGGGTCGCTATCATTCGAATCGACTCGATGGCACTTAACAACAACAAGAGTGTAGACACATGCTAACTTGGGTGATGGGGAAGGCAATTAAAAAGAAAAAAAATGTGTGAATTAGTAAAAGTGTATTTAATTTCTTCCATTAATAAACTGGAATCAGGAACAGTTTTTTTTTTTTTTTTAAAAGGCCTCTTTAAAGTATTACAGTGGAAAGATGTCACTGAGGATTAAGGTGAGCCTGACTCAATCCAAGGCATTTTCAACAGGCTTATATGGATGCAAAAGCTGGACAATGAACAAAGATTTTTTTAAAATGTCTTTGAATTATTGTGTTGGTGAAGATAAAATATACCATGGACCATTCAAAGAATGGAGTCCTGGTGTGGTTCTGTAGAATAAGTACTGGACCTCAAGGTTGGTTTGAACCACAAGGTCGATGGTTAAAACCCATCAGCTGCTCTCTCAGAAACCCTAAACAGGGCCACTATGAGTTGGAACCAACTTGACAGAACTTAACAACAACAATTCAAAGAATGAACAGATCTGTCTTGGAAGAAGTACAGCCAGAATGCTCCTGAAAAGAAAGAATGGCGAGATTTCACTTCACATAATTCAGGCATATTGTCAGGAGGGATCAGTCCTGCTTGGTAAAGCAGAGGGTCAGTGAAAAGAGAAAGACCCTCAACAAGATACACTGGCACAGTGGCTGCTACAATAAGCTCAAACACAGCAATGACTGTGAGGATGGTGCAGAACTGGGCAGGGTTTAATCTGTGGTATAAAGGCTTACTATAAATCAGAACCGATTTAGTGGCACCTAAGAACAATGAACTTTTGCAACCCTTCTCTAATTTCTTCACAATTTCAATAATTTGTCTTTACTCCTTAGTACCAGGTATTTTTTCCCCCCAGAAAACACAGAAACACAGAATTAATAATACCTCTAATTATAAATCTGAACTCTTTAGGATGGTATTTAAGACCTGCACAATCTGGTCCCATCACTACAGTACATAATATCCCATCATTATAGCTTTTGTCATTACTGTAGCCATATTGTTGCTGTTGTTAAGTGCCACTGAGTCAGTTTTGACACATAGCAACCCTGTATCGGGTTTCCAAGGAGCAGCTGGTGAGTTTGAACCATTGACCTTGTGGTTCAAAACAACCTTGAGGTCAAGTACTTATCCTTTAGCACCACACCAGGACATCAGTAGTCACACTGGGACACTTAAAATCCTCCATATACGTCATGCAGGCTCATGCCACTGTAACTTAGTTCACATGGTTCTTTTGATCTGAAAGCTATTCTCTTTGCAAAAGTCCATTCACTTTTTGGTTCCATCCCCTCCAACCTCAACAAATCAGAACTATTTCCTCTCTTTTGCATTTGCCTCACACTCAACATCCATTTGTATTTATGGCTCCTGCTGAATGCTGATTCTTTTGGCCTTTACTCATCAATGCAGTTTTCAAGTTTCTTAAAATTTCTTCATAATAAGCTCCTGTGATCATCCTGTGTCTTTTAAGAACATCTCTTAAGTCCCCTTTCATCCCTTTCAAGTCCCCAAAACAGTCAACATAGCCTTCTGAGCTGACTTCTCTGCCTTGAATTGAACAGGTCCAGCAGATCCCCTCCAAAGTCATTGTTCTGATTGGACCTTTTTTTTGAAGGTACCCTTATAATGACTAAAACAAGTGTTATTACTGCAAGAGCTTACTTATCTGCAGCCATTCACTGACCACATAGACATGCTTAAACATGGTTTGTTTGGAATAAACTTGCACATATACAAACTGGAACTCTAGTAGCTATACATTTTTGTTACTATGTTCTGCCAATTTCTAATATAAGCTGAATTTAACATTCTAACATATATTAAAAATTTATATTCAGCCTAATTCAACTGAACTCAGCAAAAATTATAGACACCACGGAGTCAAAGGTGGACAAGAAGATACAGTCTCTGACTTCTAGGAATTCGCAACTAAGAGAGGAGACAAACATTAAAAATAAACTATTACACACCAAAAGAATAAGTAAAATAACAGGTATATATACCAAATGTTACAGGAATATTGATGGTTAAGAGCTACTATGTTGTTGTTAACAGCCATCAAGATGGTTCTGACTCATAGGACCCTGTATATGGTTTCCGAGGAGAGGCTGGTAGTCTTGAACTGCCAATTCTGTGGTTAGTAGTCCAGTGTTTATCCTACATGCCACACCAGGAATCCCTAACAGTGCTACCTGCCATGAAACATAGTCTCAGTACTCAGGAGCTCACTGACTTAGAATTAAGACTTTTAAGGAAGAAAGGAGAGTCACTTTTACCCATCAATGATATTTTCAGGTGGGTGCTTTTCATCACTTGATGTGGCTAAAATCACTTCAGTCCCTTCAGAGCTCAAACAGAGATCAACTTTTCTCATCTTGAAGTGTTTGACCTGTAAAAGCAAAAACCAGCAGCGTTAGAATTTCCTGATCCTCTGAACTTTATCTGAGAAAAGGAAGACAGAGGGAAAGCTGTTGCCTAGCATGCAGTTTAACAACCAAACTATTCAACAAGTGGGAGGGATTCTGGCATGCCTATTTACATAAGTAAACTTCTAACCTCCTCCAAGGATAATCTGTTAAAGATATGACTATTCTTACCAACTCGCTCCACAAACAAGTCCTTAACAGTTATAATTTTTCTGCTTCTAAGATTAAAAGTCCTCAGTATTATATGAAAACAGTTGTTAGTAAACAAGAGTAATATGAATTAGTGGGTTATTTTTAAAATTTTACTTAGTTGTTATATTTCTGAAATTAATAAAAATCAGGAGGATAAAAACAGATACTTTGTGACTGTTCATTCATATGGTTATCACATGGAGTGACAGACAATATTTACCTTATCATCAATCCCTTTCTATTTGAGTAGGTATATGAGGTGAAAAGATAACTTTGTACTTATTTTTAAAAATCAAAAAGAGTCACTTGGGCCATGGATTTAAAGACATTTCATTATAGGGTAATATCTTACATTTAATCAAATTTCCCTGAAGAGATCTTGCTTAGCTCTACTATGGATCCTGAGGAGTAAGGTAGGAGGAGGAGAAGATGCCATCACATCACATGTTCCCTCCTCCTTGACTTAGTGGGGATAGGGCACAAACCAGCGTACAGAAGTGACTGGAAACACTATATCCACAAAGAATTAAATGATAGAAACTATTTGGAAGAAGAAGGAAGACTTCTAACGGTAGACAATACCTATCATAATCTGGCCCCAGCCTAACTTTTTGTTGTTAATTCTACAGTTCAATTAGAATTAAAAAGTAAAAAGAATATTACATCTATGAATTCTTTCCCACCACTCGCCTGTCAGTTTGTCACACTGTGGTGGTTTGTGTATTGCTGTGATGTTGGAAGATATGCCACTGGTATTTAAAATTCTCGCAGCATCACCCATGATGGACAGGTTTCACTGAGCATCCAGACAAAGGCAGAGTAGGAAGAAGAAGAGGCTGACGACTTAACAGTTAGCCACCCAAAACCTTATGAATGTTTTTGCTATTGTTGTTAGGTGCCATCGAGT